AGCAGGAGGAGCACAGCCGGACCCAGGCCACAGCCATGATAGCGACCCACAGTGGAGCCGACGGAGGGAGGAGCCATGGAGGAGGAATGGCCGCAGACTCCAGGGGGCTGATCAATGGCGGCGGAGCAGGTGGTGGAGGAGACCGAGGCGGAGACGGAGAGCCAACGAGCCAGGGGGATGCCGGGGATCCGGGGGGCCAGGGTGGAGCCGAGGGCTCTGGTGACCGAGGCAACGATCCGGAGATCCGCAGCAGAGCCGGAGCGACTGAGAACCAAGGTGGAGCTAGCGGGACGGAGCGACGAGGTGCAGTCAGAGGAGCGGAGTCCTGAGGCGATGGCGGGTCGACGCCCGACCAAGGCGGAGCCGGAGGAACGAGGGAGCCCGGTGGTGCTGGGGGATCGACGGGTGACGGGGGAGGCGAGGGGGCGAGGAGCGGAGGTGGGGAGCCGCTGGGTCTACAGGCCGAGGCGGAGTCCGGGCCTCGGAGGCTGAAGGCGGAGGTGAGGGATTCTCCAGCCAAGGCAATGCTGGAGGATGGCCGCGGAGCTCGGACCGTAATGATGGTGGGCTGAGGGTGAGCAGAGGGGCTGCCAGATGACAGTGGTGGAGGAGGCAGGAGGGGGCGGGTGGGCATTCGTGAGCCTCTGGGCTCTCAGGTGACGAAATCCTCTCGAGGACAATCTTCGGACGACAGTGTTCTGCTCGCGGTGTTCAAGCTCGCATCATAGAATGGTCCGGGTAGCTGGTGGTGCTTGCTAGCAGCTGGAATAGTCTCGTATGGTCCTCGAGAGATCTCTCCCCCTGCTCCAGCAGGAGGAGGAGGAATTCTGGTCGGGTGAAGGGATCCATAACAGGAAACACAATGGAAACAAAAACACTGGGAGAAAAACGAGAAAACAAACGGAGGGAAAAACACGGAGGTAACTGTGTTGGTCAGGTCTTCTGTCACGTTACGCTGTTGAGCGAGCACGCAGGAAGCACGAGTTAACGAGAATGGTCTTTAATCAAGGAAACATAGAAGATAATCCACAATAGGCACTGGGCAAACACACGTAGAAACAAGTAGACCTGACAAACACAAACTGAACAGACTAGGACTTTTAAACACAGGGCAATCAGGGGAACATAATCGGGGAAGTCGTGGCCTAATGGTTAGAGGGTCGGACTCGGAACCCA